ATATATTATTTACTTTATTTCATAAATATTTAAAAACATGATTTGTCTATGTGCTCCTTTTGCAATAGTAGAATGGCCAAGCTATATTATATAGAATATACGTAAAATTATTTAAGAATGGTGCGTAGAAAATGTTATAGAAGGTTATGTTTTAATATTTATTAGGAATATATTAACATTCTTGTTTTCGGTTTTGTGTAAACAAGCAATAAAACTAACAAATAGTATAAAAATGAAGAAAACATATTTTTTTCTTTAACATCTACTTCCTTACTTTTATGGTCTGTTCTTATTCAGAAAAAAAATATTATTTTCCTCTTAATTTTTTCTGTTTTGGTTTAGCGCCTATATATTAAAATATAGTAAAATATTTAAAGGTCAATTTAAGCGCACTTTAGATATTAGTTGCCTTAAATTTTATTAGTTTTCTATGTACTTTATACATATACTATTTATATAAATTTTTAATTTACATGTATATATAGAAATATTATCCTTAAATCGTTTAAATTTTATACTATATAGCATGCAATTTTTGCCTTCTTTTTTTTGATTTATGATTAAAATTGATAGTGGAAATTATTGTTGCGGTCATGTTTATTTGGAAAGTATCGATGTACATAATAATATAATGGACTATATTCTAAGTTTGTTGGTTGAATAGCATAAAAAATAGAATGTTGTATTTAAAATAGAAAATTATATGATTTTTTTTTAAGCTTTAATCATATTAAAATGTTCAAAAAAATATAAAATTTAAGGACTATAATTTAATAATATTATTTACGTAAATTTTCAAAATAGGTTTATTTAATTAAAATTTATAGAGAAATATTTATTTTAGATTTTTTAATATTTAAATATTTTAAAATATCAAAAGAGAAGAACTATTTCACAAATGTTTAAGAGAACTCCTAAATTCTCAAATTTCAAAAACTTTTTATTATAATTACATACTAAAAATTTAGATAGTGGTAAGTGGGAGTCGTGAGTGTTACGATTATTTTAACTTGAAATAATACCCATTCTTTTATTTTTGTATGGTTTACTGCCGAAAATAGTGTAATTTGACATACATTCCTTTAAAACTATTCATGAAAATGAAACTTCATTTAAAAATTAATTCGAAATGTCTGTGCTGATCCTATCTATTTTTCATTTGAACTTTTTTAATATTAACATTACAGCGGCTCTGCTAACAAATAATCCAATAAGTAGCATATTTCGAGCTGCCAATTCTGATTCCATATCCTTATTTTCGTTCTTGCATTGATTAGAGTGTTTTTAAGTTCAGACTTTGTTGCTTTTAAATTTCATTTAATTATAGATTGGATAATTGTAGTTTTTTTATTTAAATTACGTTCATATAATACAATTTTTCCAATATTGTAATTGAATTTCCACAATCAATTAAATTAAAAACTCTTTTAATTCATGTTTTGTTTTTTCATCTCAAAATTATATTCAATTGTATTATATTTTTTTTTTCTTTCTATATAACAATAATTTTTTTTTTTGTTTCGAAAAACCTTTTTTTTTTTTAATATATTTAACAAATATTTTTATTTAAAAAAAAAAGAAAAAAGAGTAAACAATTTAATTATTAAATTTTAATATTTACAAAAGAAAAGAATTAAAAAAGTTAAAAAAAGGTAAAGTGCAAATTTAAATATCTATAATACAAAATTTTGTGTTAATTTTTTATATTCTCAGAATTACACGATCATTTTCTCTATTTGGGGCTCCAAAATGCAATTACTTTTGGAACAACCAAATATAAAAAAAAACAAAATGGTCATGTATTTGAGAATCGTTTTAAAAACCGAAAAAAAAATGTAAGAATTTTTTATTTTACAATATTTTACAATCATCATATCCATTTTTTTTTGCTGTAAATTATTATTATTAAAATATTTTGAAAGCAAAATGTATAAAATAAAATACAAGTAAAACTTTAATTTAATATTTAAAAACAAGAGTTTAATAAAAAAAAAGCGATGTACTCTTAAATAATGGTGCATTTTTTAAAGTTGATTCCGAGAAATATGTAAGATTTTGTAAATATTTTTTTTTTGGAAATCTTAAAAATTCAAACAATTCAGTTTGTTTCCTGTTTGTTAAATGGGAAATTTATTTATGGTCATTTAAAAGTCAAGAAAATAGAAAAACAAAACAATAAGTTTTTCTATCAAATTGCTATATTCTGCCAAATAATCTTAAATTTAATAATGTATTGAGAATATTCCTCGCTTGGCATGTAATTTTATAGCATTAAAACCATTCAATTTAATTTGAATTTAAATAACTTTCTAATCAATTCATCATAAAATTTCAATTTATTGAAAATAAATATGGAAAAATATTATAAAATAATTTTCTATATGTGAACGATTGTCTTAATTTATTGAATTCGTTTTATATAGAAAAATTATTTATTTTTAATTATTTATTAGCAATTTAATAATTTAACTGCCGCTTATTTCAAATATAATAATAAAATCGATTTACATTATTTTTTCTTTTATCGTTAAAAAGAAAATATTTTTAACGTCATGACATATGAAAATCTATTGATTTTAGCGTCAAATTTTAATTATTAATTAAAAAAAAAAAAGACGAAAAAATATACAAATAAACGACTCACTAATTTAAAACTTCCAAAAAATTTTTTGTTATCGTAAATATTAAGTTTTACTTGTGTAGAATGCTTTCAATATATATTTTAATAAATAATAATTTGTGTTACAAATTTTTTTAAAATTTTCTTAAATTAATTAATTGTACATTTAATAGTAAAGTTTCCATTTTTTTTAATTGTTTTTTTTTTAATTAAGTCTAAAAAAAAAATTACAATAATATAAATTTGTATAAATTTAAGAGCGTTACAAACTATTTTTTTTTTTAATAAAAATTTTGGAAATTATACATATTTATACATATAATGCATTAATTATATAAATAATAATTGGGTATTTAATTTATTATTTTGAAAATTATCAAAATTTTATATTTAACTTTACAGATTATACGAAATTTTCAAATTTATTTCGTAGAATCTATTTATTTAAAATAAATAAGCATTATCAATCAGGAGACCACATTCAACTCCCATTCAATTAATTTTAGAAAATTTAGAAAATTAAAAACAAATTTTATACAATTTCCGAATAGCATAGATTTTACAACTGAATAATTTCAAATTCATGTAATTTTAAATTATACAAATTTAATTTTAACGTTTTGGTGTTTTATATTGAGACAAAAATTAATATGATTGGCTATTCTTCTAATTGTAACAATTAATATTTAATATGCATATATGTATATTTTTAGTCTATATAATTAATTTATTAACGAAAATAGTTATGAAACGCTCATTGTAAATTCTAAAATAATAAAAAAGAAATCAATTGAAAAATGCAAAAATAACATTTTTGTTATAAACAAAATACAAATATAAATACAAAAATTTATGATAATTTTTTTTTATAACATTTATAAGTAAAATATATACTATATTTGTAAAAGTAAAAAAAAAAAGAAAAATAATAATGTATAAAATTTATAGAAACAAATTAAAATAATAAAAAAAAATATATATAATTTTATCGTTTAATAACAATATTCTGAAATTTTATCATTTACAATTTGAATTTATATAAGAATTTTAAAAATAATTTTAGTACAACTAAATTTTTTAATACATAACATTATAATTTTCTTTTTTACAATATAATTTCTGATATTTTTTAGCTTTGCTAACATTAAATAACAATAACAATTTCAATGTACTTAATAAAAATTCAGAATATTAAAATTAATATATAGAAAAACATGCGTATATACAAATGAAAATTATAAATACATAGTAAATAATAAGATTAATGTATGTATATAATTTACAAGTAATATTTAAAAAGAAAAAAAAGAGTAAAGAGCGAGAGAAAATAATACAAATATCCTGCTCCTATAAGTATGCAATGATACATGATACATGATAAGATTTTGTTGCACATTATGTTTTAACAAGAATTTTTAATTTTTTTTTTTACATTTGTATATAATTAGGGTATTTTTATCCTTTTTTATTAAATTACATTTCAATAATTAAAAATTTCAAAAAATTCTTTAATAAATTAAATTTTATTTTTTTAAAAAAAATAATTTATAACTTTAGTTAGATTTTAATATTCTGTAATTTTGTTTTGTATTTAATTTTTATGAAAAATTATTTTTAAGAAAATTTTAATAAGTTTATACTTATGTATAAGAAGTTAAGAAAGTTGAAATTTTATAAATATTTATAAATTTATGCTTTTGCACTCTTACACTTTCACCATTTCTTATTCCTATCTTCTCACAACATTCTTTCATTACCATATTTAAAACATATAATAAAAAGAACTGCTCATTTGTAGGTGAAGAAGCATTATGTTAGAATTGGAATAAGATAGAATTACTCTGAGAGAATATAAAGGTATAAAAGCATAATTATTGCTATATTATATAAATTTTTCATTGAATTTCAGGTTTCGTTTAGGTTATATCATTGTTGAATAACGAAGAAATTGATAAATCTCATATAAAATATAAATTTTATTAGATGCAGATTTTAAAATATTATTATATTATTTGCACAACAATTCTAATTTAGATTTGTAATCTGATTGCATTTTCAAAATTTTTCCATATAACATAGACAATTCTAAGCAGTCACATTAAAAAGTAAATTTACTTAATGATTTATACAAAAAAAAAGTGTTTCAATTTTAACAGAATCTGATCGATTTTTAGATTTCATCAAAATAGTTAAAAGAAAAAATTAACCAAACACTTTTTATACATAAATTTTTTCTTAATAAAATTTTCTTTTTCAATAATTTTATTATTTTTATTTCGTCTTTTATTTCTATTTCTTTTTATGAATGGTTTTTTGTTTTTAATTCTTTATAATGAATTTATATTTAAAGTTAAATAAGAAAAAAAAAATCGTTGTTTTTTTGTATTCATATTAGATAAAAAATATTTTTATACATTCCAAACTTATATTGGTTCCATTTTTTTTTCTGTTTTTATATGTACCACACATATAAGGGTGTATTAGATTTGAATTTTTTCAAAAGTATCATACTTGCATTTTAAATATTAAGCAAATTTTTTGTATTATATATTTGCATTACCATGCACTTGAACGACGTTCAGCACCAGGTGCTGCTGATCCAGAAAACATTCTTGAACTACTTTGTAATTCGTATTCAGCACTAAGTGTATGTATTGCAACTAAAAGTTTTTTTCTTGGACCAAATGCTTTAATACCCAATTCAGTTAAATTTTCTTCAGTCAATGATGTGAACATTTCCAAATCAATTTCATTTAATACAAAAATTTCTAAAAAAAGAAAAATATATATATATAAGTAAATAAGTGAGAAAAATTATATTTTATATAAAATAAGTACAAAGAAAAAACAAGCATGTATAACAAATAATATTAAGTAAAATTTAGTAAAAAACAAAAACGCAGAGATTTAATATTTTATTTGAAAAATATGTGCACTTATAGAGAATAAAAAACAGTATCGTATAAGGTTTATAATGTTTAGTAATATGAGAGAGAAAATTGGAAAAGTTTTCAGACACAGAATAAAATCAAACATTGACCTTTTAAATAGTAGATTTTAAATATATGAAACGATTTGGGATTTAAAGAAAAAGGTTTTTTATTTATAGGTGTTTTATTTGGTAAAAAAATAATAGGTGAAAACTAAAACATTTTGAACGATTTTGTGTAAATGTTAATTATTTGAAATAATTTATTGGCAAATTCAATAAAGTGAAAATTGGAAAAATGATGAGAACTTTTTCATTTAAATATAAAATATATTAATTGCAATTATTTAACATACATTTATTTAAAGTTATTCAGAGTTGGAATAGTTCATTTTAAAAGAAAAAATATTTTTAGATTTAAACTAGCCGATTTGAAATTGCATAGCATTTTGTGGTAAATTTTGTCACGGATAATTCTTAAATAATATTGACCCATTTTGGTTTAATTTCTCGTTTCCACAATAATAAAAATAATAAAAATGTTACGATTACACATTAATTTACAAAATTAATATGCATTTCCATTTAATAACAAGGAAATAAGTTTAAATGTCTTAAACTACAAGATTACATAGTCCACTTGAATAATAATGTATAGCTTAATCAACTATTTCCTAATTTAAATTCAAACGCCATTTTCAAATTTAAGATTTCATTATTATTTTATGAAATCTTGCCTAAATATACCTTATATATATTCATATAAAATAGAATTTTGCAATAATAAATCATTTAAAAATTATTCTTAAATCTATACCTATAATAAATATTTTAATATTCTATGTGCTTATTTAGAAATCCTTCAATTAAAATTTTTTACTTCATAGTATGTATCTAAACTATTATATACATATTTTATGTTATTTAATAATATATTTTCAACATCCTTAATTTATTATTCATTTTCTACAAACCGTATGTCAAATGGAACAAGATGATTAATAGAAAATATTCTCTTTATGTATAAATTTAAACTTTTATTCCAAAGAAAATTGAATTTTACCATATAATAAACTACACTCGTATAAAATGTGTGGTAAGAAAGTTCATTTTAAAAATAAAATTAATTTTAAAATTGCCATTTTATATAAAAAAAATAATTGTTTTATATAGAACGAAAGTATGCGATTTCCGATTTAAAATTGTTGTAGTATTTATTAGAGAGGTTTTGAAAAACAAGAAATCTTTTATTTCGTGATTTTTTTGAAAATCAGTTTCACGCGATTCCAGAAAAGATTGCACTAAAAGATTAATTTTGTGTTTAAAATCTAAAAGAAAAATGAAAAGAATTTTTGAAAAGGTTTGTTTAGAATAAGTTAGGGTATTTAAATTTTGATAAAAGGTACAAATATTTCTTTTTTTCTTAACCCATTTAAAAATTTTTGCACAAACTTTGCTTATATACTCTGTACAACCTGTACAATCTATATATATGCTTAGTTTCTGTAGTATTGATTAAACTAACTTCTAAGCAAATATTTTGCAAAACATCAGAGTACTTATCCTTATTTGTACTTGCTTGAATTTCAAAGAATATACCTAAAAACCATTATTTCAACGATTTAGTTTGATAAATCCACTATTTCTATAAAACATAATTTTATAATATTTCTCCCAAAAAATTGAATACAACAAACATTCATATTATATAATTACATTTTTATATAAATAATACTAATTATTATGCTAGATATGCATAGCTTTTTTCACATTATAACAATTATGGAAAATATCTTTAAATAGAGTACAAATCAACTAATAAAATTTATAAATATAAAGAATAGTAATTATATAAATACCGCACATTATTTCCGCAAATTAAGACATGATTTTTCAAATAGGCATAAATTCTTTGATAAAATAGATACTCAGAACAGATTTACACCCATACTATTAAATGAAATGTTAAAAAAATTAATTTATTTAAGATATTTCTGTTAGAATTTTAAATAATTTATTTAATTTAATTTTAAAATATTAATCGTATTATGTCTGGGTTTCAAGTATTGTAGCCATATACATACATGGAATTTGTAAATCATATTTAAAATTCAAGGATATTTTATCACAGACATTATTTTTAAATATGAAAATTTTAAAACAAACTTTCTATGCCAAAAAATTTCTAGTTAAGTAAAATTCTATCATTATATTGGTATTTATTACAATTGACTTGAAAATTATGCAGGAATTTTCAAATTAATGTTATGGAAAATTCTATCAAAAATAAATGTTTTAATAATAAAAAATGAAATATTACAAAATTCAGCTAAAATAAACTTTCTGTTTTGCATTATAAAACATTTAATAGTTTCATACACGTGTCTACATGCACACATTTTTATTTCAAATTACTAAAAATACGTATAAATATATATATTATAAAAGGATAATAATTAATTTCCAACAAAAAAAAAAAAATCGACATTATATTTGCAAAATCATCTATATACTATACTTACTAATATAATGTTCTAGACCAAGACTTGTCAACAACGAATGAATGTCCTTATGTTGTGATAATTGCATACGACGTGAATATGGAGTTGAATCAACAATACCAGTTGTTGCCCCTAAATTATATGGTGAAATTTGTGCATTTATGCTGCTAGTATTAGCATTAGTGGCAATTCCAGCACCATTACTACTGCCACTACCACTACCACCTCTATTATTACTGCTATGATGACTATGTTGATGATGATTATGATGATGGTTTTGAGGAGTTTGATCATGTGCTATTGTCGGTGTTGTAGTTGATGCTAGTGGTGTTATATTATTATTACTACTATTACTGTTATTGTTGCTAGAGTTGTTATAATTATTATTGCTACGATTCCATGTCATTCCAATGTCATCAACTGTCTCAAGTGGTGCTGGTGATGTTCTACTTAAACCTAAACCAATCCAGTTGGCATTAGGTGTACGTAATTCACCATGCGGTTGACGTTCCATTGCTTTATAACCCAAAATACGTTTCATATCAAAATCAAATGTATGTGGTGTTTGTTGATTTTGATGCTGCAATAATATAAATAATATTATATTAATATATATATATACATATATTGCTGTTTAAATAAAATGAAAAATTTTTTGAAATTTCTGAAATTAACAAGGTAATAATTTTGATTTCATTGCCTTTTTCAATGTAAAATATTATGCATTATTTATTTTAAAATTCACTAGACAAGGCAAGGATAACAAGGATTTTATAACATTATTGTAGTAGGTATGTGAGAAAATTTTTTTTAATATTTTTATAAAAAATTAAAAAAGTATTGTGGAAATGAATGTACAGCGTGACTAAATAAAATAAAGAAAACGACATTGCAATTTGAAAATTATGATTTAAAACCAGAGCGAACAGGAATAAATATGAAATAAGATTGTTTGGAATCGAAATAAATCTTCAAAAACAGTTTATGCAACACGATTGTTATCTCATTCAAGCTATTATTCTGGAATTCAATATTACGTTTCTATGACATTGCACGAATCTAGTGTTTCAAATTAGCGTGCATTTAAATAGTTTATAGTATTTGTAATAAAATAATAATACATTTGCTTACTTTCAAATCAAAATTAGAAGCTGATCTAAATTCTGTTGTTGTTGGTGATAAATAATTTTGTACACCACCATCACTTAATCTTCTTAAGGTTTTATTACCGATACTCAAACTACTTGTAACCCCATCATTATTAAATGTTGAATCAGGTGAATAATTTCCGCTACTAGCACAACGTCCAGGATATGGTGGATAACCTTGTTCTAAAGATGCAGTACTACTACTAAAACTTTGATATCCACTTGTATTTGTACTACTATTACGTGGTGATAATGAAATTCTAGATGGTACAGCTAAATAATTATTGTTGTTATTCGCGCTTATATTATTGTTACTGTTACCATTATTATTATTATTTGAATTGTTATTATTATTATTGTTATTATGATGATTATGATGATGATAATGATGTGAATTGTGTTGTAAACGTTGAAAATTATTATGATTATTACAAACTGGTGTTATATTATTCATACAATTATTATTAATTTCATTATGATATTTTGTTTTCAATGTACAATTTCCAGTTGTTGGTGTTACCTGATATGTTTGCTGTTGATGTTGTTGATGCTGCTGCTGCTGTTGTTGCTGCTGTTGTTGTCCTTGAACAAATGGACTTAAATTATATGCTAAGAGATAATTAAATGGCGTATTGTTATTATTGTTACTATTATTGCCACTATTATTATTATTATTATTATTGTTACTTGTATTTGTCATTGCAGATGATGGTGTTGTCATTGTATTATTTGCATAATTTAAATTTGTATTAATATTATTATTATTAATATTAATGTTATTATTATTATGATTTATATTCATAAGGAAACCGGGTGTTGATGGACTTTCAGGATATTTTGATAACAATGCTGTTAGTGTACGACGATATCCTGGTTCCAAATTTTTATCTTTTGGTGAAAAATATAATTCTGGTATTTCAGATTGAACAATTGGAGTTTTCAATTGAAGTATTTCATGACGTGCTTCATAAATTTTATCTAAAATAGAAAAGAAATTTTTTTACTAAATAATAATTATATAGTTATAAATATCGAACATATGTGTTCAGAAAATATAGAAAATATTTTGAATCGTAATTTTGGGACCCTTAAAAACTTTTATATATGATTAAAACAATAGAAAATATATTTAATATGATAAAAGGCAAATTAAATTTTTCACATAAAAAGAAGGTTCTTGCGAAAAAAACTGGTAAAAAGAAGTATGCTCTATGAAGAAATAACAAAAAATTTAATGAAACTCATAACTTTATTATTCAATTTTCCAATTTACACTTGTTGTGGTTTCTAATTGTAACTTTTACGTGAAAATATTACAAATGAAAGTGGAAATTTGTTCAAATGTATTAAAATATACAAGAATATTTTAATGAAATTTGCTTGCAAGTTAAGAAATAACAAAAAATTTTCCAAAAAGTTTCGAATTTTTCAATTAAAATTGTTTGATACGCCTTATATTCTTGGAAATTGTTTAGTTTATATTGGATTGGTACAACAAATTTAAAAATTTTCGTTAGTTAACCTACTAGTTAATGTAACCCGAACCGCACTGCAACTGAGTCCAATTTAATTGGTCACAAAAATTTAATTATTAAATAAAATTTAAGGATTATTCAAAATTCATACGCTTGTAAATTAATGAATAAAAATGTCAAAATATTAATAATGAAACTTAATATAAAATATAAAAATTCAATAATTCATATTTTCATGCTGACTCTTCTGTAAAATGTAATAATGATTTTTTGGGATTTACAGAATTTATACACAACTGCACTCAAGGACATGCCTATATTGTATATCTTAACATATTTTTATGCATACTCTTGGTATTAAATATTAAATTTTTTTTTATATTAAATATTATAAAGAATTCTTAAAAGATTTTCTTTTCATATTTTCTCATAAATTGAAAAAAAAAAAAAATTTTTGTAAAAATTTTCAGAAAAAAAAATTATTATTTCAGAAATTCTTTTAAGTTCCATTTATAGTTACGCGACCTATCTTCTTCATTTGGGTATATACCAAATATTGTATATATTTTATAATTCTTATATATTATCGATATATTTATGTATGTACATTTCTTACCAATAAATTTTTCAACTCCTTTTATAATAACAGCCATTGTACTTTGCTTTTGTTTATTTCGTAACGATATAAAAACACCATATTTATTACTTAAATTGAATATTTCACTTGTATCAGCTTGACTATATGGATAATCGAATATGAGAGCTATGGGTAAATTTCCCTATATTTAATATTTAAATATGAAATAAAAAAAATAAGAAAATAAAAGCATTTATTAATAATATTCAAATAAAAATTGAAGAAAATAATAAAAAAAAAAATAAAAATTTATTTATTCATTTTTTCCATTTTTGTTTTAAAATTCAGAAATGCGAAAAAAATAACGATAAAATATTTTTTAACAGCAGACATTTTTATTTTTTTTTTGGCTCGATAGTTTGCATAAGTTGTGCATATATTAATTTGTATATGTAGATATTTTTATGAACAGTGTGTGTTTGAGATTTGTGTACTATTATAACTATGAAACACAGTAAATTGTCACAATATTGTGAATCTCTAAGGAGATTCTTGAATTCGATCTATATTTCTATAAATCAGTTGGGGTCATTTTTAATTTCTTATAGCAATTCTTTTACTATTTCATTTTAAAATTTTGATTTCAAATATTTTGTGCATATTTAATACAGTACTTAATTTTAAAATCAAACAATTCTAATTAACACTAATAATTATAAACAAATTTTTATATGTTTTGAGTTTGAATCGTTTTAATTTTCTATATTATATTGGTTGATTTCTGTCTGCTTTTTAAGCAAATTAAAATGAATGATTTATTATCATTTTTGATTCTACAGTTTCTCATTTCTCTACATTTAAAATTTAAGTTCAGTAACATTTTACCAATATTTCATAAATTAAACTTTTTTATATCGAAAAAATACTTAATTTAAATTTCTCCTCAAAATATTTGGCAATAATAAAATTTTGTACCAAACAAAATCTTCCTATCTTATACGATTATAAAATGCCAATTAATTCGAAATTATTGCTTAAACCAAAGCAATTTCAATTCAATTTTAATATCTAGTGTACAACTAAGAGATTCAATACTGTAAATTATAGATACCATGTTCTTTACATTTTGGTATCCAAATTTTATTTTATACATTATTATGTAACATCAATACACATAAATATTGCGTATATAAATTTTTTTTTAAATATTTCAATTGGAAAATGAAAGTATTGCAAAATAATTTTGGTTTTAATGAAATGAAGAAAATAAGAATAAAAAAAAAAACAAAATTATTAAATTTAAAATACAATTAATAATTTCAATTGAAAATGAATAAAAAAAAATTGTATTTAAAGTGTTTTAATTAAAAATATTGCTTTCTTAAATTTAAATAAAAATCTGGTAGGTAAGCTTTCGAAAAAAGAAGGAAAAATTCCTGAAAATTGCAATAAATTATTTTTAATACAATTAAATATGAAATTAAGAATTTATAAAATAATAAAAATTATGAAAAATTAAGGAACTTAACAATTAGTTTATATAAAACTTAAGAATATCGTAATGTATTGTAAAAATATTAACATTTTTAAAAGAAAGCAGATAAGAAGCACATTTCTAGCTTTAAATAAAATGTTCGATTCAAATTTGTTCTTGAACTGAAAATTAATATTTTACAAAGCTAAATAAAGTACTTTTCCGCTTTATTGGTTTCTTAAATCTAATTTAAAGCTTATAAATTGCATAATTCATTTTTCAAAATTGAAATACAAAATCAGAGTTTTCATAAGCGATTCGACTGTGATTTTACCACGGTGATTCAAACAGTTTTCTAAAACAGCAATTTAAACAAGAGCCTATGCCCTATACAAAATGTGTATACTTAAAAATAATTACAATTAATTGTTGTTTAGCTTGATAAACTTCTTCAATAGTTCCATTAATTGTTACTTGTGATTTTTTTAATGTTTTTATATTCATATCATGAACATCTGGGAATATTATCTGTAAAAAAAAATATAAAAAATTATACATTAATAATTATTTTGATTTGAAAATTAAAATATTATGTTAAAATAATAATAACAACGTGCCTTTAATCTCAAACTTACTTAGATGCACAAAACACAAAAAAAAACGATCGTACAAAACATTGAATATAAAATTTTCAATTACAATTTTTTCCAAAATTTAATATATATTTGCTATTTAGGATTACAACTACAGGCTAGTAATTAAAAAATATTATTAGCCAACCAATTGTAATGCTAATTTGCTAAATAATTAGTTTATTTTTAATAAAATTCACTTTCAATAGGAGCTTTATTTATTGAGCGTTCAAGAAAATATAAGAAAATATTTTATAGTTTTTAAGTATTTAAAGTTCCACTAAGGAACTGATTTAAATGAGAAATAAACTGATTTTCCCCATATATAAAAATTTTTCTTTAAAATTAAAAATTATTTTTAATTGTAATTTGATTTTAGTTGAACCAACAATAAAAATCAAATTAAAAACTCAATAATAATTACTTAATAATATATTTTATCTTTTCTGGCAAAATTTGCATAAAGTACTTTTCATAAAGAAAAATCTTAAATCTTAATCCTATTTATGTATACATATAAATTTTTTTTCTCAGTTTAACTTTATGATTTATTGGAATAAAATCAATTATATGCAGTGTATATCAAAAACAAAAATTAAATTTTGACCGTATTATTTCTTTTCTTCATTCAAAATCAAAAAGAGGAAAAAAAATATCAGTAAGTTTTAATCATAATTAACAATACTTTAATATGATTTCAGTTTTAAAGAATTTAAAATAATAAAAATTTCCCGAGTTCTTATTATGCAACCAATAGAGGACTAACTGTGATTAAAAGTTTCATTCTTGGAGAAGTAAATCGACACAATGAAAGTAGGTGTTAACCCACCGTCCGAACCACTGCAACAACTAAGACTTATTGTTACATCGCACAAATCTAAAGTAACTGCAAAAGTCCGAAATCGAACAGCAATTCAAATAGCATAAGAGCACCCCCACCTATATAGAGAAGCCCCTCTCGATCCAACGTCCCGCAGCTGTACAAAATGTCTTCCGCTGTCCCTTCCTCCATGCCACAAAATCTACACCAACAGTTCGCAACTAGCTACAGTTTGCGTTAGAGTCGAAAATTTTCTGCGTTCTCCTTTCAAATAAGTTAGAAATAAACAATTTTGTTCTCGTTTTACGGAAACCAAGGAGAGGAAGCTTTAAGGAGTTACACGACATGAAAATTTTAAAAGGAACAAGAATGAAATTTTCACGACAGCAAATTCTAAATTTTCAAAACCAAGGAAACATAGCAAGTTCTACAATGTGCAAGTAAGCAAGTAATTTTACATAAATATATTTATACCTCCATTTTTGAAGGAGGATGAAAAATTAAATGTTAAGGATTTAACATGCCGTGAATTGCTAATGAACAAAATATACCTTATTGTAAATTGCCCAATATTAACCAAAGTCCACTCAAGAGCTTCATGAATCTATCGAGATCGAGAAAATCACAAATTATAGTTTATTATTTAATTTAATTTTCTCTTTTTTTTCATTTTTGGTGAATTGAAAAATATAATAATAATTATTAATAATAATAATAATATTATTATGCAGAAGTATTTTGAAATGAAATCCTTTCATTTTTATTACAGTTCATGATATTATACTGATTATTATAACGGTATATAATTATATACATACCAATACATATACATAATAATTATATACAAAAGAAATATGCAAATTAATAAAAAAAACCGATTTCAAGTTAAAAAAAAAAAAAAAAAAAAAAAATAATTATTATTATTGAAATGGCAAAGAATGAATGAATAAAAACTCTACTACACTTTAATAGATTGAATATTGGAAGGAAGATAAATTCCGAAAAGGATATTGTAAACGCAATACAAAACAAACCAAACCAATAACAAAAAGAAAAAACGACTGGGAAATTAAAACAAAAAAATTAACAATCAAAATATAATTATAATACAATCAAAGCTATGATAATGAACGTAGTCTTTTAAATAACACAATATAAAAAAAACGAGATGAAAAATAAAAATTTTCTTTTAAAATGAAGCAAAACAGAAGAACACAATGTGAAAATAAAGATGAACAATTATCAGTAATAATAACAATAAAAATAATAATAATAATAGTAATGAAATAAATGAAAAGAAAAAGTAAAATAAAATAAAAATGAATAAAATTTTTTTTTTAAAGTGATACGAGAATAAAATAACAGAAATGAAGAAACAAGCAAATACATAAAAAAATAAGCAAATGAAAAAATAAAGAGAGAAAACAATGAAATAAGAAACACAAATAAATAAACATTAACAAGCAAAACAATGTGAAAAACAAACAAAAATACAATTGGAAATAACATAAAACTAATCAAGTAAAATATCATTTATAACCTTGTAAAAGTGCAATTAAGTCTACAATAACATTTTTTTAACACTTTAGGAAAACAAAATTGAAGTTATTATTATTCCGTTATTGTGAATTGTAAAATATTGAGTTATTTTCGCTATTGTGAATTGTAAAATATCGAGTTGTTAATTAATTCGTTGTCTCGAACATTGGTGATATACATATTAAGTTTAAAACGCGTATATTCGTGTCAATAAGAATACAACAATATTAGACGTTAGGTTAGCTAACGTAGTTTGGCAGCCATGCCCCTAACTGGCCAGTAGATCCTCAGCGATACCACTCCGAGTGACAACTTCTAAGAAGACCTAGATAACATTATGCTGCGATGTAATTAAAACGTGTCCTAAATCTCGCTTGTAGAATATGAACATCCTCGTTTTCGCATTGAAGAAGAGATATTACCTATCCAACATCCCTAAAAGTCAGTGGGTGTTTTAAATTTGTATTCACCAAAGGTGTCTCCCTTCCTCCTGAACAGTGATACGGAAACTTTGTAGTCTAGGAAACTGCTATACGAAGTTTTCTTTTTTTTCACTTGTAAACTTCAAAACACATGTTTTTTGAATTGAATTTTTTTTTTCTACAAATAATCCAATTTGCCAGACAAATACAAACTAAATTTTTATCAAATTTTGATAAAAATAATATGATCAAATTACCTTAAAAAAAAATTTACAAATTTTTATACACTATCAATAAATGTCAACAATTATTACGTACTTTAATAGTTTCCACAAAAAAAAAATATAAACAAAAATGCAAAATTTAAACCTTTGTTTTTGTCCTTTCCATTATATGCAATAAATTTGTGTTATTTTTTCCTTTAACGACTTCATGATGTTGTGGTGAAATTTCCAATTGCATTTGCACCAAAATTTGATTCTATAAAATTTAATTATAGACAAAAAAAGAAAATTAACAAATAATAAAGTTATGAAAAAGAAAATTAAAATAGCATTCACAAGTGATAAAAAATTTTTTACATATATTGATATATATGTACTTATATATATAGATATTTAATTAAACAAACAAGGTATTTAAAAATTAATTCATTTATCCTTCTGACAATAGGATATATTTTGCTAAATTCTTAGAAATGACCGAACAGCACAGTAAAGTGCCATCTTATAAATTTGTTTAGAATATATTTTCTCTCATAACCTGTATGCGGTGGAAGTATTCAAGTCAAGTCAAAGAAAAATTAAAACCTCTGAATATTTGAAGTCCCTCTCCCAAGCGTCTGTTGTAGGACTATGGAAAAAGGTGGTCCTCCTCAGATCAAAAACTAGCTATAGCTAGAAATTTAAAGATAAGGCGATAATAAAATTCTCATATTCCTTCATCCCTTAGTTTATGTGACTCGTATTATGAACTCATACGAACCGCAAAATTATTGTTGCGGGAAATAAATTAGATATGTATAAAATTAAAGAAATATTGAAATTGTTTCATAAGCTGGAGTATGAATTAAAATGCTAATTCTTAAAGAATAGGAACAGGTATCTACATAATTTAAAATTTAAGTTAAAATTTTCAAGTGAAACCAGTTGGTGTAAGACTCTTAAAAATGACACATTTTAAGCATATTTTTAATCTAGTATAAGTTTTCATTTTTAAATTATCTGTAACATTGAACCTGTGTTATTGTTCAAAAATCTAAATTCAAATATTTAATAGTTAAGTTTTTTTTTTAATTTTTTATCATCGAAAATCAAAAATTAAGGTAGAAAATTTAAAAAAAAAAAATTAAAAATGCACTTTTAAAGAGTGAAAATGACATTAAAATCACAACAGTCTACAATAATAGTTAAACAACAAATAAAATGTTGAAAATTACAATCTAAAATAGAAAAAGAGAATCAAAAAATTGTTACAATAAATGTAAAATATAATGATAATAACCGTTATGGTGTTATAACAGTTTGTTTACGTATTTGTTATTTTTGTGAATAACAAACAATTATTTTTATTAAAAAATTTTAATCAACAATAGTAATTTGATATTTTTTGATATTCAAAATTTGAATTCATATTTTCTTTGATATTATTGTAGAATTGCATTCGTTTAGTACACAGGTGCATTTAATACGATTGAATGTATTATTGTGAGTCATTATTGGCTCTGCATTTTCACCAGACAACCACAAAACAGTTATAGAATTGAAAAATGCTTGGAAATACAAACTATGTATTTAGCAAAAGGCAAATTAAATTTTGAATTTAAAGAAATTTCTTCCTCTATTTGTGGTTGTTGAAAATATTTTCATCATTGCATTGGATAATTACATTTTTCTATGTTGCTTAGCGTAAGGTTAGTCCTTAATTTAAAACTTAAAATAGCCCTTGGGTGATTTAATTTTACCCTTTTTATTAGAGCAATCGTTTCGTTCTCCGTAAGACTAGTAACAATTAGGCAGTGCAATTGTAGGTAATAGCTGATTAGATAATATAATAGCTTCAATACGAACAAGGCAAACAATGCCAATTTTAATTAACACGATTGTCATGTTCATAATTTACTAATCCCAGCACAGTTAAGGGTTATAATTACATATTCTTTAAAAATCTCATTTCAATCCAACTCTAATTATATTTAATTACGTTTCCTCGTAATAAAAATTCCTCATAATAACCAGATAATTAATTCCTGATAGAAACCTATATTTTTCAAACAATGCCTTTTATATAAGAATACTTATTTTCTTCCCCTAAAAAAAATAATTAATTAATTATTGAAAATAAATTATAATTCTTGTTTTTTTCTTATAATTATTCTTTTTATTCTTAAATACTTACAGCAATATCACCGCAGGTATAATCTATTAAAACTTTTGTTGCTTCCTTTACATTAGAGGCATCCTTTTCAGAACCTTTAACTAACATTAATGATGAATGCAATTTTGTACGTGTTGAAAAAAAAACCTATAAAATTATAAAAAATCATTAAATTAATTTTTAAACTTTCTTATCATAATATTTATATGACATAATTGACGTAAAATATTCTCGTAATTACAACATATTTATGTATAATATATACGATCATTATTTAAAGCAAAAAAGGTAAAATTGAAACTTACTTGAACATTATATTTTGTTTCAACTTCCTTAATATAAATTGTATTTGGATCTGGTACTGGTCTACCAGGTGCCATAATTGGTAATTCAAATGATATTAATAATGGTGTTGATTGTCTAACTAATGCTCTTGCTCTTTCAACACCTTCTAAACTACCACATAATGAAACTTGATTACTTTTTTCACTTTGATTACAACGATTTGAATCGGGAAAATGTATATGTGTTGATGTTTCCTCCATTATTCCTTTAATATTATTACCACAACGTCCAATAATATATGAATGATCTGTATATGATACGTCCATTTTCATTATAACTCTGGAACCCTAAATATTGTAATTGAAAGAAAAAAAAAATGAAATAATGTAGTAGTAAAATATATATATAAAAAAAATTATGCAAAATTCCTTAAAATTTCTATATATATTTGTACATGTTACTTTGGATAATAAAAAAATCCATATGGTACTGTAAACTAATGAAATCAGTTTATAATTAAATTATAAGTCAATTTATAAATTATGCTTGCGATCATAAAATTTTAAAATCTAATTCAATGCTAAATTAAGAACGCTGTTAATTGAGCAACAAATGCGGCAGTAATTCGAAGTAATAATTTGACGAAACAGGAAGGCGATTCAGTAATTTGTTTGCAGATAGTAAACTGCATTGAAAGTTTAGGAAGATGGTAGGTAGTTTTGATAATTAAATTAGTAGTCGTTATAATTTTGTATAACCAAAACACATCTTTTTACATACATAGCCTCATTACTCTCTCATATAAAAAATCGAATAGTTATTCATGAGCCGGATACATTAAATTTCGTCTGATTTTCTATCTTGACAGTAACAAAACATGTATAGCTCGGATATTAAGCAGGATGTTTAAAATTTTCTTTACATACATAACATATGTACATAATTATATGATCTCATATGTGTATGAAATTTTTTTGTTATTAAGTTCTTGGAAATAAAATGAAAAATTATTAAATTTTTTTTTTTTTGAAAATAGCAAAAGTTTGATTTTTTCATATTTTCAGTTTTTTTTTTTAAATTTTTTTCCAAATGAAAATTTTCGTTCATTTTCTCCAATTAATAACGATTCCAAGTCCCAGATTACGTAAAAAGTTCAAAATGAAAAATGAACAAGTTGTAATAATATTAAAATGGTTGTCTTTTTGTTTTTTGTTCTTTATGTGATTCCGATGTAGTTTTAATTCAGTGATTTTTTTTTCTCTCTCTTGAATTCCATTGTCCTTTCAATGTTTTTTATTTTTCTGACAATTTTTTTTTGCACATTATTGTTAAAAAATCGAGAATATTAAAAAGAAGAACTTTTATTTTCCTTTTATTTCAATTCTCTTTTTTTTTTTACTTCATTTCGATTGTGACCAGTGTAGCTAAATAATTTTAATGAATTAATTTACGTAATTAAAAACAGGTGTATATTCATTTAGGAGTACCAATTTAATATCTATATTTACTTGAAGCTTTCATTAAATGATTGCCTTTATTAACAATTATTAGCAAAGCAATTAATAGAGCAGTAGAATCTTGAGGAACAAACCAAATTTTTATTACATGATATTTTGTGGCACTCACTAACAATAACTTGAAAGGAAGAATTATACATGAACAAATCAACAAATAAAAGCAAGTTTTGAGAAGTTCATGCAATTAAACATTTTGTTTCAAAACTTGTTGTGCGACAAAACATTACCCTTGTTTGGATAAAGTAAATTTAAAAATTGAAAATTTTAAAAGTGAGCAAATTGTTTGTGAGAAAATTCATAAAATTAAGTTTGTAAGAAATTTCTCCTCTGTTCTACAAACGTATCTTTTTTACCAAAATTTTATAGACAGTTGGCAAACCAATTTTTATTTTTAAAAATATTTTTCAGTGAAAGCAATAGATGCTCCGAAATAAATGACATAAAACGAGAATAAAATAAAAATTTAAAGGATATGGGATCGCGCTATTGTAAAAAAAAAATATAATAATAAATTTTAAGAAAAAATATAAAAAAATATTATGACTATTATTGCTTCTTAAAACCGAATATTATCGAAATATTATTAAAAAAAAAAATAAAACAATTTTTCCTTATATTTAAGCACATACAGTGTTCCTCATACCGAATACAAGGGAATTAATTGTACTATAACCAAGTAAAAATGATAAAACAATTAAAAAGGAAATGGAAATGGATTTAAAATAATAAAATAATAGTAACCCATATACGAGTACGTATGTAACATACAAGGACATACAAGGATAAGTATATTTTATTATTATGAACAAATATTACGGAACATGAAAAATGAAATATTAAAGGATTTTTTTTTTGGTAACTATGCGTATTTAAAATTCGAAGACTTTAATAAAATTACATTTTAATTTAAAAAATTCATAGTTTGCAATTTATTTAGACCAAGTAGTATCGCCGGATATTTTCGTCTGCCTTCTAATTCAAAGTAATCGAATTTTACAAAAATGGATTTTGATCGATAGCTCCTATATTAGCTATGTCAATTAAATGTGACCGAAAAAAAGCTATTCCAGCTTGAAAGCGCTAAGATTTGCAAGAAAAGCCAAACATGATAATAGAAACCATTTCACAGTTTTCCTTGAATATTTTTAAAAACAATTTTTTGTTTTTAATATTTTCTCAAAATTTTTCTGAAAAATCCTCTCATATGCTAGTACTAATTAAATTTTTAAAGCTATAATTTTAGTTCATGTGTTTTGAAAGGATAGTTCAACATCACTGAATAAAATATTTTTATTTTACTACCTTCACTTAAAATTTTAATTGTATGAATGTAACCGAAATTTAATAATAAATTTTACCCTTGAATCCAATGTATTTAAAATTTTTTCTTTTGCTTTTGCAACGCATTCTGGTTTTCCAACTATTCTAACATGAGGATCTAAAAATAAAAAAACAAAAATAAATATTATGTATATTTTAATTTTAATTTCAGTTTGTATAAATTAAGTGCAGATGTGTTAACATAATCGTATTAATATTTTAAAAGTTCATCTTACTATAAAATGAACATTGCACGTACATAAATATGTATGTAGCATTTTGCGAATAGTTAAATACAATTTTGAAAAATTAAGTAACCAAATATACTTTGGTAAATGAAGAATATGCAAACACAAACTTTTTCACTTCAATTTCAAAACGGTTCCAATTTGACATTTTTATTAAATATTTAAAATTGTTTCAAGAAAATTAAGTTTAATTAGGAGTAAATTCTAGTTTCCGATATTTTACAATATTTACTTTATTTTTAAGTTGAAAATTAATTTTTATATTATTATGGCTCAGTCTGCAGAGGCTCCCGATAGATATACATACCATTTAATCATTTCATATTGTTATAATCATTTTTGACTAAAAATAAGTAAATTTATTGGAATATTCGAATGGAATATTATTTATGTAAAGTAATGAAGAAAAATTATTAAATAAAATATATTCGAAACAGCCCTGTCTAACACCTTATATCGAAATTTGTTTTAAAATTTTCAAAAACTCATATTTCGAAATATTGCAATTGATTGAATTTCTTATATATTGTGTATTTTTAAATTTTTGAAATAAAAATCTGTGTGTTTTACAAATATTTCAAATAATATACAATTTAATTATTAAAATATGACGTTAAACCTAATATAATTCATAATATTTATATGAAAATTATATGAAATAACATTATATACGTACACATTAAAAAACTCAATTGCGGTAAATTACAATATTTATTGTGAAACAACAAGGTTTACCAAACATATACAAAATAAATTCACTTTTTTTTTTTAAAATATAAAATATAAGGATATGTATAGAGGTTAACCATTTAGGATTATGAGAATTATTAGCTAGAAAAAAAAGCGATATGATTCTAAAATATCATTATCAAAAAATAATCATTATAATCGTGTTGTGCCATCATAAACGCCATAAATATTTTAAAACGTTGATAGCTAGCTAGGTGTAGAGTAGCAGATATACAATATATATACCACAAATCTATGTATAAGGGAGCACTAACTTGTGTAAAATTATTTTGTTGGTGTATTGAAAAAATATAAAAATATTTTGTTAAAAAATAAACTTACATATATGTAATTAGAAAACATATTATTATGAAACATGGTTAAATTGGTTTCAATTAGTAATTTTTATATATTAATTTAGGGTTATACACCCTCTATATTATAAAAATATTTTGAGGACAATAATATTAAATTTGAATTTATTTAAAATATTTTAAAGGTTGTGTATGATATATCGGAAACAATTTGGAAAATTGAAAATTTGGATATTATTTTTGTCTTTCAGATAGAAACATGCAAATTTCAGATTATAAAATCGAATTCAAATGGTGGAATTAAGTGATTAACTTCTTGATCATTTCACATGAACCAGTTTTCTATATATAACATATTGTATCAACTATGCCAGAGTAAATTCTTGTATACCATCATGTATAATTAAAAATTATGCTAAAATGATTTTGAATATTTTAAAAAAATTAATTGAAATCAATAAAATGTTACAAAATATTACAAGTTTTTATACCTTTTTTGTTTTTAGCTCCAATTTTCAAGCGACAAGGCCAGCTTACGTAAGTAACAGTTTCTTTCATAATCTACAAAGTAAAATTAAAGAAAGAGAATATATTAACATTTTTCACCAATTAATAATTTTGATTTTTGAACAAAAATTAAAATTTTCTCTTACTAAGAAAAATTAACTAATTAATACTTACATTGTCAAAAAATAATTCAGCACTATTTAAAAATCCTTCAACTGTACTTTCACCTACAAAATAAAAAATTAATTTAATAAACATTAATATGAAAATTTTAATAAGAAGATGGTTTTTCTAGCAAGGAGCTTCAATCAATTTCATAAATTCAAGTTTTGTATATTGATTAAGTTCTACTTCCTATTGAGAGAGAAGTGAAATTCACTCTTTGTATCTGAAAAGTGAAATTTCCACATTGACTACATTAAAATTAATAATATAATCAATGCTGGTTCGTACCAATAAATCTTCAACTGTTATTCAATTTTTTTATACAGAACTATACATTTAATACTTGAAATTGAATAAAATATTATATTTAATTAAAAAATTCTACTAATAATTTTCATAATTTATTTGTCTTAATAATTATACCAATATTTTATTTATTACTTTAATAGCTACTTACTTCTAATCATATTCTCTAATTTTTGACGATCAACTTTAAAACGTTCAGTTAATAAATCATCTGGATTTTGTACACCTAAATTAATTGCAATTGCTCTTATATCACTCCAATCACTATCAACTGATGATATTTCACTTTGACTTTCACTTGGTGGTCCACTACTATTTGTTATTGATTTACTAAACATGATTTTATTAAATTGTTGTTGGCAAGATGTCATCGTTATAATTTTTTGTTTTTTTTTCCTTTCAGGTATATATGTATATGTGAATATTATATAAACAATTTAACTTTCTTAAAAGTTTTGATAAACGTTATAATATGCTTGTAATTGAAACCTTTAATTAAAAATTTAAAATATGTAATTATAATTAATAAAATAAATAATATATTTGCATGTAATTAAACAATTAATTTAATAAATATCTTGTTGTTTTTCGCTATATCCATAAACTATTTGAAATTTACAATATTATTTATTCATTATTTGTTTCACTATGTTTATTGTTAATGTACGCCCCCTAAATAATAATTGATTAATTGATATGGAATCATTTTTGTTAATATGAGTAAAAATTTTATTCTCAACTAAAATTTGACGTAACAGGGATGTAGACATCTTATTTAACAAAATAGTAACTTTTGTAATGTCAAAAATTTTTTTAATATTTATACAAAAAATTATTAAAATTTATTTCTTCATATAAGGATAGTATACGTTATAAGTGGTACACTCTGTTACAGAATTAATATTCTATTGCGAATTAATTCAGGAACAGTACAGTGGAATAATTTAACACTAGTATTTTTGAATTCACAATAAAAGAATAATGACAATTATGCAAACAATAGTTGTGCAAGATGGTATGCCCTGGTGGAACTATCAGAAAGCTGAAATTAATAATCACTCTATATAAAAACACTTTATTAATTTAAGAAGAATATTAAAAGAGAAAGAGAACTTTGAGAATCTCTTGACGTCACTAAAATATTTAGACATAATTTTAAATTAAAAAGAAAAAAAATTTTCAATAATAATTTAATACTAGATTAAACAAATTTTGAAAATTCAGGAAACTAATTATTTTTGGTATAAGTATATCATTTTTTGAAATATGTGTACATGACTAAATATATATGAATAGGTATATATGTATATACTTGACTATATGTACACGAGAATATAAAAAAGAACGGTTATTCACCGTTTAAATACCGTTATTCGAAATATTTTATTTCCATTTATATAAGGGGCCTATTTATTTATTGGCCTAATAGGTGAACAGTACGAACTTTCCGGAAAAATCAGAATTTTTGCTTTAAGAATTCTTTTATAAAATATTATTTTAATAACATCACGTTATATAATTAATTAAATTAAATATTTTTCAATTCCAACGCCATATTTATTAAAAATATTTTTGAATAATATTAAATTTGAATAAAATAAATTTTAATTTCAATTTAGTTATTTATTTTTCTAAAATAATTAAATTCAGAGTATGCAATAATAACCATATGAAATAAATTCAAGATTTTTGAAAAAATTTAATTATTACTTTCAATAAATTTTCTATTTCAAAAGCATTTACACATTTTTTTTCTGCAAAATAAAGTAAATTGTACTTATTAATATTAATTAATTTTAATTCAATTATTTCAAAATAAAACTTTTCAAAATCTATGTTAAAAATTAATAATAATAAATTACCTTAATTATTTTTTTTTATTTTGACTCATTTATTAAATAATTAGTCAGGGTTAAATAATTTTCACTTTTTTTTTTATTTTAATTTTACGTAATATTTTATTTTTAATTTTCACTTTAAATATTTTTAATAATTACATTCCCGTAATTATAATTTTATGCACTAATCATAATTCAATTTGATTTAATGATAATTAAGAAATTTTGTTAATTAATAATATGCATATATTGTAAAAGAATATATATATAAATGTGATATATATACATATATACTATAATTTTAAAATAATGAAATTAAGTATTTTTTTTCTTTTTAAATTATTTTCCTCTATATTTTGATCTATTTAAGAGATCGTTGAAAATATAACTAAAAAAGGATTCTAATTAATTTGAACTAACTGAGATTTTGAATTTCTTGAAGTCAAGAGAACTGTTAATTTTTGTTTTATTTTTTTTTTTCACATAAAGATCAATGACCTTTATTTTATTGAAAATAATAAAATATTCTTTATTGTAACTTGCATATAAAAATAGTAAATAAATTAATTTTAATGTTATTAAAAGAATCTCATATGTATATGATTAAAGTTTATATAAATAAACTAAAGATGTCGTTTTAAATTAATAATGTCAGTTCTGTAAAAGACCATATGCACTGCCAAAATAATTGATATTTTTGTGTCAAAACAAAAGAAGTTGAATTTCTCTTTTATAATGTTTATCAAATTCTACTAAACGTGTACTATTTTTAACAGTGCAAATAGAAAGTTTTTGTATTTCTATTTATGAAATATTTATTTATATGGTTTTTCAACAATACAAAAAAAAAATTTCTAATAATTGTAAAATATAAATAAAATTGACAAAAATATTAACGAAATCGAAAAATTCATTCAATAATAACCCATGTGAGATTTTTACACTATGTGGAATGTAAAATGTCAAAAAACTGTCAAAATTTAATTTTAATTTTTGTGTAGTATTTCAAACCCTCCGGCTGTACAATCACAAAAAATTAAGAAAATTGTTATCTGAGAAATTCAATTCAAAAATTTGTTAGAGAAATGATTAATTGTCATTCAAATTAATTGTTATAAAATAATCTTACTAATATAAAAAATTTTTCATGGTATTAAATACTAATATACAATATCAATATATATATAGTAGCTATAACTATTTTAATTTTGTTAAATTTGTACAATTTTTCACAATACCCAATCATTTCTCATTTTAAATCAAACATTCAATGTATTTGTTTAATTTTTTTGAATTTTTTGAATAGTGTTCAAAGACTTCTTATTCTGACTGTACTCACATGTGTTGTCAAAAATAATTAAGAATGAACTTTTAAATTAAATATATTTTTTTTGTGTTTTTTAAAAAGAATGCACGTGTTTTCATTTTTATTTTATTTTAGAAAAACAACAAAATATTATTATTGATTAATTTAATTAAGAAAATTTTTTTTAATGAAAACACTTACCACTAGCTTTTAATCACTATTGTTTCTTCTTTTTTCTTAAAATTGTACAAAAATAAAATTAGAATTATTCTTCTTTTCAGAGAAAAGGTGAAAATTTAATTTTTTTTTTCTGCTTCTTAATTATTTGTCAAAATATTGTAATTTTTAAATTTTAAAAAATTTTTTGGAAAAAAAAAAACAAGTACCAAAATTTTTTTTGGATATTCTTTCTGAGTGAATATTGATTCGTAAGGTATGGGTAAAAAAAAAAAACGAAAATTAAAATTTGACTTTCGAAAATAGTCAAGGTCAAAACGAACAATTTGTTTATTATAAAGATTTTGAACAATCACAAATTACAAAAAATATTTTTTTTTTTAATTTTTTTTTAAATATTATTTTATAAAATTTTCTTAATTGTTAAATCTTTTAAAATAATTAAGGTAATTAATCAGAAAATTTATTTTATTTTTAAATATAGTAAATTAGGTTAAAAAAATATAAGTACTGACGTCAATTTTAAATGATTTCTTCCAAAAAAAAAATATAGAAATATAGAAATGCCGAGAAGAGATTGAAACAAATTTATAATTAATTGGTCAAAATATAATTTGCAAATATAACTTTTAACTATATTTAAATATAAATTAATATTAACGCGCGTTTAAGAAATTAAAATCCGGATAAATTAAGCTAAGAATAATAAAGACACTTTTAATTGTTTTAGAAATTTTTTTTATAAACACATTAAAATCAGAAAGAAAATTGACAAATGGTTTTTTATTTTTTATATTTTTTGATGCTTGGTACAAAATGGCTCTGGATGAAGGAACGAATAATTTTCCAAAATAAGAATTTTTTGATGTTTAGTTTTTTTTTGTGCAATAAATTAAATTCACTAAACGTGTCAAGTTGAAAGGAGAATTAAATGATCACTAATTTATTTAAGATAACATGGTTAATTTTTATGTCAGCGAAATTTTAGAAAAATAAGTTTTTTGGAGAATTTTAATTTTTAATATAGGGTGATAAAAATTTATAATGAACCTATTGATAATGGTCAACTTTCAACAAAGAAATTTTTATTAAAATATTTTAGTGCAATATTGCTCAAATTTTTAACATAAATTATTATAATTTAAAAGCATTCGATATTTATATTCATGCAATAGGTTGACTATTAAAATATCTATTCAAATATAAAATTTTTTAATTTGATTTTACTTAAAGAACATTATTTTTGTATCACCCTATTAAAAACCGTTTATTTTTCAAAAATTCTCAACTTTCTCTTTGTTTCTGGTGGATAATTTCTTTAGTTTTTATTCAAAAACAAATTGAAGAGCTTTGAAAATATAAAAGTTTTTTACAAGTAATGGTGAAAAGTGTTTTTTATTTATTTTCAAATTCTTTAACTTTGTTTATATGCTTTGAATTCAAATTTCTTTCTATTCTATTTAAAAAAAACCCTTGCTGCAAATATTCTTGCAATAAATCTTAACGTTTTGAATTAATTATGAATTTTTTGTCAATTAAAAGAAAAATAAAATAATAAAATGCGAAAAAAAGAGATGAAAAATGACGGGGGAACATTTTAAATTTATTCCCTTATCGATATTTGTTTATAAACAATGTTGCGCAACATTACAAAAACTTTACATACTAAAACATTTTTTTCGTAAAGCTTAAGAAATTAACTAAGAGATGGCAGAACGTTCAATCAACAAAAAAATTAAAAATGTGGTGAATAATTTTAGTTCTCTGACGTTTATATAGAGGCTGTGATTTTTGTGGTGAAAAAGTTTAAATTCTTGAAAAATAAAATTATTTTAATTAACTTCAAATTAAAAATGAAAAAAAAAACTGAAATTTATAGTTAGTATCTTGTGATTTTTTGTAAACTATTTCCTACAAATGTAAATGCATACCTAGGTCATGCTTTGATGTATGTATATATAAATAAAATGAAAACTGAAAACGTTCCTTTAATGCAGAGCATAATATGATTTATTTCTAACTTAAATAGAAAATTAAGTAAATTTATTTAAGCTACAGAACTAAAGTAGATATCTATTAATTACTGCTCTACAAATTATTTCACTGGAGCATCATTGAATTTTCATATTGATTTCAGTATTAAAAATGATCTTTGAATCTTCATCTTCATACTGTAATCAAGTTAAACATTACTAGAAATTCTAAATTTTTTGGCATTTTTCATATTTTAATTTTTTCATATATTTATAGGAAGTCTTAAGTTTATAACTTTACTTAAGATCAAACAAGGTTATTAATCCTATTAATTCCTTTGGTCCTTTTTAAATCTTCAACAATAGGTAGATACTATTTCATTGTGCACAAAAAAAACCTTCACGAAATTTTCTTCTTTTTTATCTAAAATCTTTTATTACTTGTTTGAAAAAAAACTTGGGTATGGAATTAACAATAGACATTCACAAGTTACAAAGGACATATTAGCAACAAATCAAAATTAACTTCTTTAATAGAAGAAAAAAAAAAGTGGTGGAATAATCACTTTGATTTCTATTGTCTGACAATGATTGTCTCTCCAGATGGGTCCCTAAAAATTCTAAAATTTATTTATAAAAAAGAAAGAACAAAATTTATTAACGTCATTTTACAGTATTTTATATAAGAAATCTTATATTTTGTAATATTTTTCTAAAGCTTTGTCAAAGAAAATATTGGTAACATACCAAAAACCCTAAAGTTATAACAAAAAATATCAAAATTTTCTCATGAATTTTGTTGATACGATCCGGTATTGTGTTAATATTTAGAAACTTTATAGTACAAAATGTTACAATTACACAAATTTCTGAAATTCTCGAAAACTGCTCTTTCCGAACATGTTAAACTATTTAAGATGCAATTTGTTTAAGATGTAATTTGCAACTATTTAACATGCAATTTGTTAAACTATTTAAGATTTAAATATTTAGTTTAATCTTCTATATAAAGCAATTAATTATCTATAAAAATAGAAGTGCCTAAATTTAAATTGTGTACTTACCTGTTATAGGCAGTGGATTTACAACTTACCTGTTAGGCAGTGGATGTCACAAATTTTAAAATAAATTCCAGTTTCTATTTTCCAATGCAGAAATTAAATTGTGGTGCACTTCGCTATTTATTTTTTTTCGCTTTATGAATTTCAAACATCAAATCTAAATTTCAGTTTCTGTTTGCTACTGCTGAAATTAAATCCTGGCACTGTTATAAAGAGCACTTGATTATTTATTTCCATTATTTTATGTATTTCAAACATGGTGTCCAATAACAATACAACCGAATGCAATAAAATTGTTACATAAGCCTAAAATGAATCAAAGAAAAAAATTAAAAGGATATTTTTTTTGTTGAAGAAGAAAATTCTTTTAATTTATCAGATCAAAAAAAAAATACAAAAGAATTGTAGAAAAATATGACTTTTTTTCTTCACTTTGTTGTTAGATTATTGTGCGTCTCTTTTAAAGTTTATGTTTTGTAATTTGAATAATAAAATACACAATATGCCCAAAACATTTTGATAAGAAAATGAAAAATTGTAATGAAAATAAATAACGCAATATTCCGTGTACAAAATATTTTGAATTTGGTCTTAAATTTAGGAATTATTGTTAGTCTTATGACAGTGGTACTTTACATTGAATCGCCACACCGTACATAATAGAAATTTAACACTCAAATTAAAATATTACTTATATTTTGAACAATAAGTCAAACCGATTGAGAGGATGAGTAATATGATGTAAATTCATAATAAGTTATTCTTATTGAGCGCAAGGTGCAGAAGTTGTTAAATTTGTTGAACAATAAAATTTCTTGATATTTTTAAATCAATTAATCTTTGTCACCTTCAACAAATCAAAAGTGATTTGACGTTTAAATTAGGAAGACGAATGAATATAGCTTTTGACCACTAAAGACCGTAGAGTGCAAGATAATGCAGATTTCTTAAGGCTTTTAATAATGAGTAATCAAAGGTTTTGTTAGTTGAATTAGAAAAATTATTTAAAGCAAAACTTCAAAATTTCATTAAGAAATTTTCAATATTAAAGAAGTTCCTTTAGAAAAGGTTACCAATTGCAAATTTCTTCATTTTCCTTTTTCATTACAGTTAATTTCCATTTTATTTTTTCTTCTTTCTCTCTGTTTATTCCATTAGGGGAAAATTCAATAAACTTTTTATTCAATCATTCTGTCATGAATTTTATTTTAACACGATATTTCAACTACAAAACCCTTACTACTCCAACATACAATCATCAAATTGAACATAGTTAAGAAATCGAATATAAAGAGTTAAGGTGAGGTGATAAAGAATAAAAAGAAAGAAAAAAAACTTTTAAAATAAATATTCAAAATGTTTAACGGTATTGACACGACTTTTTCACTTCAACTGCTTCTTCCAACATTTTTCATACCAGGTTATTATTTTTTTCTCTATCTTGGTAATTTATTTTCATTTTTCTCCATTTTCTTATTATACAAATCTCTTTTTATTCTTTTTTTATTTTTATTCAAACCGCGCTCTACCACCTTATTTTTCAACGTGTGAACTTTTTTTATTGGTAAATTGTAAAATCACTTCATTTTTTTTTTATTACGATGCTGCTATTTTTTATTTTATATCTATGGATTTGCACTTTTTGTGTTACGTTATAAATTTTCCATTTTTTTTTTGTTTCTCATTTTCTTCTCGATCAGTTTTCCCGATTTTCATTTTTCTCATTCTTTTATTTTTTCATTTTTATTTCCTATTCCTTTGTTTTTCTTTTTATTTAATAAACTAATTTTCTACATAATATAGAGGAACAACAAAAAAAAAGTAGCAACAAATAGCTTTATCCTAAATTGAAACTGAAATATAAAAGTGTTATAAAATTGATTTTTAATTTGTAATAATTCAGTCGGATTTGGAAATGTGGAATGAGAAGGGGTGACTTGGCGATTGGAAAGCTTATATGAAATTTTAGTAATGTTTAACAATAAGCATAACAACTTAAATGCACCTTATAATTAAAATTTAATAATTAACTTAAAATTTAATAATTGAGACAGTGTGCTTGAAGAGTTGAGCTAAATAAAATTTAAAGTTCTGACTAGTTGTTGTTCGGGG